GGTGAAGGGAAGCTGGGCATGGTGGTGCCTGGCTGTAATTCCAATACACAGGAGGCTGAGGCAGGAGGACCACAAGTTCAAGGCCTATGCCGGCTACCTAGAGGAAAAATAAAAAAATAAAAAAAAAATTAATTGAGGAAGTAAAGAGGGAAATTCTTCCCCTTTCTCAATTCTGGACGTTTTCATGACTCATGGCGCTTCTGTGACCATCTCAGAAACAAAGAGGAAAGTCTAGAGAATTACAGAGCTTGACTGGTGTGATGGGGCCAGTGAATCGGCCACCTTTAATGCCACCCTAGTTTGAAACTTTGTATTACACCAACCAATCCATCTTCTGGGTTTTTGTTTGTTTGTTTTTGTGCTTTTTTTTTGTTTTGAGATAGGGTCTTACTATGTATCCCCGACTGACCTGGAACTCACTATGTAGACCATGTTGACCTCAAACTCACAATGATCCACACATGTCCTCTCACTGAAAGCTGAGATTAAAAAAAAAAAAAAAAAAAAAAAAGCCTAGCCCTTCTTCTATTTTTAAAGCCTCTACTTACTAATCTATTACCTGCATCCTCAAATATCCTAACTGGCATTCCCCACTAAGGGTGACAATGGGGATATTGTTTCCATAGTTGTTCTCAGCTCCTATATGTCTGAGCCATTTCCCATGCCCCTCTCTTCATGTTTGTACTGGTGCTGATCCAAATGAAGTCACCCCAGATTCATCCTCACAATGCCCTAAGTTGCTGCACCCCCAAGACCTCCTTCACTGTCGCCATGCTGTCATCGTTGGTCATTGTTACAATCTGTCTCCATGTGCTCAAACACTCAACGCTGTGTTGTCTATGGGATGTTGTACTCTATCCCTGTGACTGCCTGCTACCGGCCCAGTTCCCTCTCCCAATAGATCATCCTGGGAGTCCTGCCTTCTCCCAAGCTTGGTTCTCATTTCAGTTGCTCTGCCCTGTGAACACACACACTGCTCAACAGAAGAACCATGTACATCAACAGAGTCTGGTCAGTAGCCAGGAACTAGAACTTGGGCTAAGAGACTTAGTCATCTCACTCCAGCTAGGTGAGAAGATGCAACAAAAGTGATAAGGAATCAGTCACAGTCGTTGATTTATTTGTGCCCGAGACACCTGTCTAAAACTGTCCCTGATGCAGTATTTGTGAGTATACTTAGCCACAGGATGACAGCTCTCTGTATCTCCAACGAAAGGAAATGAAAACTTACTGTTGCTGGGAGGGAGGTGGTATTTTTCCCCCCTGAAGATTTGATCTGCTCTTTCAAACATGGAATAAAAAATGTAAAGGCATTTCTGGAGTTGTAGGAATAATATCAAGCATCGTTTCTCTTTTCAGAGAAGCTATGAATACGAATTGGAGCAATGACACATTAAGAATGTTTGTCTGGCTAGCATAAGGGCCTGGCCTGGGTTCACTCTCCAGCACTGGGGGGATTTGAGCTGTGAGAGGAAAGTAATTATTTAAAGCACTTCATGGATGCTGGATGTGGTGGTTGTCCTAGCATTTGGTTGATGTCAGAGGATCAAGAATTCAAGATCATACTATCTATGTGTGAGTTAAAAGCAAACATGAGTTACATAAGATCCTATCTCAAAAACCAAACAAACAAGGGTTGAAGAGATGGCTCAGTAGTTAAGAGTTTTTCCTGCCCTTGCAGAAGACAAGAGTGCAAATCTTAGTACCCCTGTCAGATAGTTCAAAACCATCTGAAACTCCAGCTCCAGGGAACCCAATGCCCTCTCCTGGCCTCTTTGGACACCCCACCCCTGCTATACACACACTCATAAATAAATAAAATAATTTTTAAAACAAAACAGAAGAAAGTCATTTATGGAGATGGGCCTTTTGGCACATGGTAATACTTGGAGGCTGAGGCAGAAGGGTTGCTTCAACCTCAGCTGAGACCAGTTTAATCTACATAGCGAATTCTAGAGCAACATGAGTTATAATGAGTCCCTACCTCAAAACGCTAAAATTAGGGTCACTTTATATAAAAATGCAGTGCTTGGCTGCATGGTGGTGGTACATACCTCTAATCCCAGCACTCATGAGGCAGAGGCAGGCAGATTTCTATGAGTTCCAGGCTAGCCTGGTCTACAGAGTGAGTTCCAGGACAGGCTTCAAAGCTACACCGAGAAACCTTGTCTCAAAAAACAAAGAAACAAACAAACAAACAAAAAGGAAGAAGTGTGTGTGTGTGTGTTAAAATTTAAGACAGGTTACATTATTCAAATATAGTCTTCATATAAAAGGAGATTTCCCTCTTGTAACTAATAATAGCAGCCTGTGGTCTGGAATGTCTTTTAACATTCCACATCAGAGTTCTTTGAACATTTGTGCAATAGTAATAAATCATAGATCTTTGTGGGATGGAAAGTCTTCTCTGGAACTTGACATGCAAGCAGATGTTGAAAGTCACTGACAGCATGCTGGAGCTGAAGGGTTCACAGATAAATATTCCAAGCTCTCCCCCTGCCCAGTGGTGTTACGATATGTTTACACACTGGCACTGTGGCAATCACCATTTTGAAGATGGAAGTGACATGTCCAGTTGGATAAGTATCATCCTACAAACACTCTCAGTTGTCTTGTGTCTTGGGGTCCTTATCATGAAAGGGTGCCCTTCTCTCTTCTGTTCAAATAAATTTAGCCTGTAACCCTGTCCTGTGTGGAGTGTGGCCAAGAACCTTCTGTGGCATTGTTACCACATGGTCTTCCTAGGAGTCCATGTCTCAGAAGATCCCTGGTATCCCCCTGCTTCTTGTTCTAACCTCTTTCTAGCTCATTCCCTCTTCTAGCCATTCTTCTACCTTCCTCACCTCCTGTGATATGGGACCCACACTTTCTTTACTTTGTTGTGAACCTGTGATTTTAATTGCTGTTACTCACAGGAGTATGGGTAAGGGGTTATCTACAGCATCATAGGAACTTTACGAGCAGCTACACCACTGAAGAAAGTGTCTCTCCCTCACCCTGCAACCATTAACTGCCTATGGATACTCGGGAAGGAGGGGAGCCTCATTAGAGTCTGCCTCTTCTGCAGTGGAATGTTGACTCACCCAGTCTTGTACTGGTCTTGGGAAGTAATCACAACCGCTATGAGTGCCGTGGCCACCTCATTTGTGAAAATCAGCATTCCCCCCACATCCCAGGGCCCTTCTTCCAACTTGTACATTCTTTCCTCCCACTCTTCCATGATGTTCCCTGAACCTTGGAAGGAGTGGTAAAGATGTTGATTTAGGGCTGAACACTCAGCAATTACTTATTCCCAGTATTTTGACCAGTTACAGTGACACACTGTGAGAAAGAAGCTTTTTTGACCAAAGCTGTCTTATGAGCATAGATACAAGTAGGTAGAAGGCAATTTATGAACATAGCATGTCCGTTTAGCACAACAATAGCAATAGCTTCCTAGCTAGAGCTCATGACCTCCCTAGCCAGAAGCTTTTGACCAGATTCACAATGCCAGATGTGAATTCCTTTTTGTGAAGCAAGGCCTCAAATCCAATCAGGAAGTGGTTGGTTACCCTCCTAACAGGCTACTGCTACTGCCAATGGGGACCCACTTTTCTATACCTGAAAGATCTTTAAAGTTACTTTGTTTTCCCGACTTCTACATGAAGGAGTTTCACATCCAACTTTTAAAATAGTAACCCTAGGCCTGGAAAGATGACTCAGCAATTAAGAGCACTTGTTGCTCTTGCAGAAGACTTGGGTTCAGTTCCCAGGACCCACATGGTGGTTCACAGCCATCTGTAATTTTACTTCCAAGGGAGCTGATGCCCTCTTCAGACCTCTGTGGGTATTTCTATCTTCATATCACTACCAACATTTTAAAAACTAAAATACCACATCCGTTTCCTCTTGCTCTTTTTATGGGGAGTGACATGAGACAGGGTCACTCTGTAGAACTCGCTATGCATACCTTCGAAGTTGACTTTGAAGTTGGGACAGTCCTCCCACTACGGCCTATGGAATACTAGAATTATGGGCGTGCCTCCTCATATCCACTTTAAGAATAAAACCGTCTCTTGCCAGGTTTCAACATTTGCAGATAGTGTGACAGCTTTAGAAAGGAACCAGGCTGATCATAGTGGCACACACCTGTGACCCCAGCACCAACAGGAGGATGGCTGAGAGTCTGAGGCCAGCTGAGCTACATCAAGGATTCCAGGCCAGTCTGGGACCCAAAACAGTGAAAATAAAATAAAATAGATGTGATGGTGAATGACTAGTTATTTCTGGTGTGTATGTGGAACTGAAAATGGGAACTAATCTAGAGTCGTTTTGTTGTTGCTTTGTGAAGACAGGATCTCAGTGGGTAATCTAGACTGGCTTTGACCTTGCTCTTATTGCAGGCTGTCAGGAGACTCACAATCCTCCTGCTTCAGCATTAAAAGTGCTGGCATTACAGGTGTGGCCCTCCCTACCCCCATGGCCAGCCTTGGAGTCACCTGTATTGGGTACTGAACTAGATGTGTGTACTTCTGTGCTTGGAGATTCACTCAAAGCCCCAAAAGTGGCCTTAGTATGAGGCTTGTTTGCCTATGGAAATCATTCTAGTCTCTTCCAGACTCAGGGATTACAATACAGTTGAAGCCAGGCTTGGTGGTACAGGCTTGTAATACCAATCCTGGGGAGGGGGTCTGGAAATTGGGGGCTCAAGGCCAGCCTCTGCAAGTTCCAGGAGAGCCTGAGCTACACAAGATCAGGTCTCAAACAATAATAAAAAGGGCTTGAACAGAACTCCTAAGTTAGAAATTAAGTAAAAACAAAGGATGTGCTGACTGACTACACCTTGGAAAGAAAGCTCTGTCAGGGTTGACCAGCAGCAGGTAGATTTGGAGCCACACATGGGTTACCACTCCTTTCCCTTATAGTCACGGGGGTTTTTATTCTGCAAAATGACAGCTGTATAGCTTTCAATCAAGTGGGGCAAATGCACTTGGCTCAAATACCCTTTCTCTTTTTTCCAGCATCTGGGTGGTCCGGTGTGCTGCTTCAGGGGGATGAGGCAACTGCGGATCCTATAAGAACCAACGAAGACATGGCCATCGAGGTAAGATCTTTCTCAGATGACTTCTCTGAGGTCATCTGCCCATCAGAGAGAAGCAGGGACGGGCCCCCTCTGCCCCTCTGGCCTTCTCTCTACTGAGGCAAATAAACACAGGGTTTCCTGAAGTCTGGGAACAGATTGCAAAGCTTTTTAAAATCCTATTGCATTTGTATTTATTGTATGTGAGTGTGCATGAGTGGACCTGTGGTGAGTCAGAACACAAGCGTGGAGGTCAGAGGGCAACTTGTAGGAGTCAGTTCTCTCCTTCCATCATTTGTGCTCTGAGGATTGAATTAAAACGTCAGGTTTGGCTGCAAGCATCTTTACCTGCTGAGCCATCTCACTGGCCCTAGGAAAGTTTTTGAAAGCCAGAACCTATGTCTTGATTTCCAGTGTACCTGCTGTGGGGTATTCATGAACATCTAAGAATAGGCTGAGTTCAAACAGTAGCCTCCATGGGATCAGAGCAGCAGGCATGAATATTCTGAGCTTTGAGAAGTCTGGCCCCACTGTGCATTGTGGAGAAAGGTCATGGAGGCACAGGGCAGCTTTGGTTCAGACTCAGGATTTCCAGTGATGTCAGCAGGAAGGCAGCACATGACCCACTCGGGCGGGAACAGTGATGGCCAGAGGTTTACAAAGTGAGTCATCTGGAAGTTAATGAAATCAGCACCGTTCAAATGAAATGTGTAATCATCGAGTGGATTAAGGACTCCTTAATGAACATTAGCAATGGCTCCACCAGACTGGGATGGATACAAGGAAGAGGCCTCCTCGCTTCTGCTGTGTTATCATTAACAAAGCCTAGATGCAGAGGACTTCCTCCCGTCTTCCCTCGGATGACTTGAATTTTTAATGTGTGCCATTTCTGAGTGTTTTCTTCCTTTTGTTTTGTGTTGTTGTTTTGAGGCAGGGAAAACAGTAGGGGGGACTGGGGAGGGATTGGAAGGAATGGGGGGGGAGGGGAGATTTGATCAACATACTTCATATGCATTGAATGAAGAGTGTATTTCTATTTTGATATATATATATATATGGATTTATCCTACTGGGGGCTTGAACCCAAGACCTTGCTGTTGCCAGGCAAGCACTCTATCAACTAAGCTCCAGTCCCTAATTTTATATTTAAAACAACTTTCTAAATGCATCAGTTTACATAGGAGCATCATATAAACATATTTGATAGTTTAAGGTTGCTCAGTGTAGTGGATTGAATTGTGAATCATAAAACACTGCATCTTGCTGGACAGTGGTGGTGCATGCCTTTAATCCCATCTCTTGGAAGGCAGAAGCAGGTGGATCTCTGTGAGTTCAAGGCCAGCCTGGCCTACACAGTAAGTTCCAGGACAGACTCCAAAGCTACAGAGAAACCCTGTCTCAAAAAACAAAAAAACAAAACAAACAAAGCTAAACAAACAATCAAAAAACCTAAAACAAAACAGAACACTGTATCTCTCGGGGCCTATCTGAGAAGAAAAGGGAGACTAGAGAGGGTGATAAAGGGATGAATAAGATCCAGGTATGCCAGAATGAAACCTGTTAGCACTCAGATGAGATGGCACACCTCTGATCTCCTCCACCATCTGTACATACATGTGCATACCCACACACATGCACACCCACATACAGATCCAAACACATACACGATTAAAAATATTAATTTAAAAACCAGCTGGGTATGGAGGTACATGCCTTTAATCCCAGCACTCTGGAGACAGAGGCAGGAAGATCTCTGTAAATTCCAACAGGGATACATAGAGAGAGAAAAAAAAATCATACCTGGTGATTCTTCCCATAGCCCCAGCACTCAAGAAGCTAAGACAAAAAGCTGATGAGTTCAAGGCCAGGCTGTCAGAGCTGTATAGCAAGGACTTGTTGCAAAACACAAAACCAAACATAAGCATTCCAACTATGGGAAGGGGATGGGTGTAGAGGTCAGAAACTAGAAAGGGACCATTGAGGGTGAGGGGAGACCTTAGGGGAGGGGTGGGCAGTAAACAGTGTGCCACAGAAGTGGGGTAGAAGGGGGTATACACTGGAGGAAGGCCAATGAGAGGAGAGGAGAGGAGGTGCAGGGAGATGAACCAAAACTAAACATAAAGATTCCTTAGAGAAACGTGCTTCTTTGTTAGCTAAGTAAAATAAAGACCATTGTCCCCCACCCTAAGAAACATCTGTCCTAACTTCAGGCAGCTGCCAATTCGATCTTAACTCGGAGAACGCATCTTTGTAGATATAATTAAGAATCTTGAGATGAGATCACTCCACTTTTACCAGATGGTGCTAAAGCCAGTGGCATGTATCTTTCTAAGAGATAAAGAAAGAAGCAGGCACGTGTAGAGGCCATCAGAAGAGACAGAGACTGAAACAGGAGTTCTGCAGCTCCCAGCTGAAACCAAATGGGGAGGCTCAGCTGCCAAAAAAGACTAAACCCCAAACTGATGAAGCTCCAAAAGCTAGAAGGAGCTTCCTGAAAGCCTGGTGAGGAGTTCAGCAATAGCAACCGTGAGTTTAGACAGTGGGATTCCAGAGATTTGAGAAAATGAATTTCTGTGGTTTTAAAGAACTCTGAGGCAATTTGTTTTAGCCGCCCTAGGATGCTAATACACTAAGGTTCATTTGTGGTGGAGGCAAGGCAGATCTTGGTGAGATGGGGCTAGCCTAGTCTTCATAGTGAGTAGCCAGAGCTGCACAGTGAGACCCTGTGTTTCTACTGAGACCAGTACTCACACCTGAAGACTGCACGGATCTATCACAGCGGCTCCCTTCCCTGTGTTCGCCCTTGATGAGCCGTCTTTGCCATTCTTGTTTTCAGGAGAAATGTTTTCTTTATTTCAGCGGAGTTATCACCATTCACCACAAGAAAATGGCAGCCAGACTTCAGGGAGCTTTGAGTTGTCTTTTTCTGTGCCGATGCATATTCAGACACTGAATGAATGAGTGAGTGGTATGGATTATTGTTTGCTAAAGCTTTGCCTGGCTATGGGATTCCCCTTTGCAGCAGAAACAGGAACTTTCCAGGCTGCTACTTTTAAAATGCAGATTTCAGAAGATCTGAATTTTAAAATGAGTGCTTTTTTTTTTCCTAGTAAAGGACTGGGGATTGAACCCAAGGGCTTTGAACATGCTAGACAAGTGCTTTACCACTAAGCTATAACCGCAGCTCCTTAAAAGCAAGACAAAACAAAAACAGAGAAAGAGACAGGCTTGAACTTGCACTTTGTTGTGCCAATCTTCCCAGTAGGTTTGCACCACTGGGCCTAACTGATGGAGAAAGGGTTTAGAGACTCGACTGTCCCATCATTCCTTGGTTATTTCTTTTTGTTTCTGTAATCCTGGGCATTGAACCCAATACTTTGACCATGTTAGAACATTCTAGACAATCTACCATTGAGCCAGATCATTTTGAAACAAGGTCACACTATTGTTGTCCAGGCTGGGCTGGGACTCACTTTGCAGCCTTGAACTTGCCATCCTCCTGCCTCCACCTCTTAAGCAATTGTGGTTACAGGCCTGCAAGCCAGACATGATTGAGAAGCTCCCTCTGTACAGTGACTGAGGCTCAGACTTCACCCTGACTCCGGGTTGCGTCCAGCCATGTCTTCTGCTACACTCGGTGTCTGTCCCTGCCCTCTCTATCTAGCTAGAGTTACTTTTCAGTCCAATGAATCCCTCTGTCTGAAGCCTTCCCAGCCCCCTCGCTCCTTACAACAGACCAAACTCAGGGGCAGGTGCCTAGTTTTTTTAAAAGTCCTGTGGCTCTGCTTTCTTTGGCATTGCATGCACTAAAATTGGAATGAGGCAAAGATTAGCATGTCTCCTGCCAAAGGATGACACACAAGTTGGTGGTGTTCCTACTTAAAAACAAAAAAACAAACCAATTTGGCTTTTACTCACAATTTCCTAGCTAGCTCCTTGTCTCTGCCCTCTCCCTCCAAGCCTGGTTCATTCTTCAAGTCTAGCACTCAGATGGTCCCTTCTCCAGTGACATTTTCTGTCCAGTATTTTTGCTAAATGTTCTCACAAGATCTGGTACATCTCCATCATAACTAGATGCAGTAATTTTTTTTTTTTAAGAAAAGGGGATATAGAGACCTAGCCTAGCATGGGTGGGTCCTAGGTTCGGTCCCTTTGTGGTGGTACAGGAGGCAGGAGGATTGCTGACAGTTTAAGAACAGCTTGGCTACGTGGCAATTTGAGACAAGTCTAAACTACTTAAGAGGTCCCTGTCTCAAAAATACAAGAAAAAAGAAAGGAAGGAAGGAAGGAAGGAGGAAGGAAAGAAAATCTCACCAGTGTGGTGGTATATGCCTTTAGTTCTAGAGTTCATACTCGGGAGGGGAAAGCAGATGTATCTCTGTGAGTTCCAGGCCAGGCTGCTTCTACACAGCGAGTTCAGGGCCAGCCACGGCTACACAGCGTAACCCTTTTGTAGTCCAGTTTCTTTGTTTTCATTTTTCACCTTTTAGAGGCTCTGAGATTTCAGTTCCTTTAAAAAACAGAACATCTAATTTCCTCCCTTCCTTTGTTCCTTTTCCCTCCCTCCCTCCCTCCTTCCTTTCTTTAAAGTAAACCAGGCGGTAATGGCACACACCTTTAATCCCAACACTGGGAAAGCAGAAGCAGGCAGATCTCTGTGAGTTCTAGGCCAGCCCACTCTACAGACAGAGTTGGAGTACAGTATAGTCAGTAAAGTAATACACAGAGAAACTCTGTCTTGAAAACCAAACTAACATAACCTAAGAGGTATCGTGTAGCCTCGAGATTTCTCTGTAGCTAAGGGCAACCTTGAATTCTAATTTCCCTATTTCACCCTCCACCTCTGCCACCGCACCCACTTAGTTCCCTTTAGCTTAAAAAAAAAAAAAATACAACTTTTTTGAGGCATATAATTTTTTTATACCATAAAGATCCCCACCAGCTTTAAAGTATCTTCATGACTCCAGTGAGACCCTGCATGCTTTCTTCTGCCCTCTTCCTTGACATCACCACTCCCACCGCAG